CATTGTGTAACATGCTATGCTTGTAGAACATTCGAGGAGCTTTCCTGCAAGAGTTGTGTGAGGGCGCTGCACTTTCCTGGGTCTAATTACGATGTCAGTTTCACAGGAGCATCTTCGGGTCATCATGTTCTATCAGTGGCCCCGCGGCACTGGAGCAGCGGCAGCTGTCCGCAACATCAGCAGTGCATTGGCGGAGGACACCACTACCATCATGACTGTCCACCTTTGGTTCGCTCGCTTCGCGAAAGGAGACACGATCCTCGAAGACAAACCTTGGTTGGGACGGCCCACACGGAGTGGAAGAATCCACCATTCTCAAAGCAGTCAAGGAGGATCCTGGAAGCTACCACCCGCACTTTTGCGACAAGACTCGGGTGTAGCTAACTGACAGTTGTCAACCGCCTGTACGCCCTTGACTGCCGAAAAGTACTGGCTTAATGGATAACCCATGCTTTGATCGATGACGCTGTGCACTCGCGTACCCCTTGGTCAGTCTCCCCTTCTCCGCCCTCGTCAAAAGGTGTTTCTGGGAGACTGCTTAGTGGAGATGACAGATGGGTCCTCTGTGATTTCAACCCACACAGTACCGTGTGTCTCTCTCAAGGAGAAGATCCATTCTAGCAGTCCAAACCGGGCATGATTCCGAGAAGCTTTCTGTACTGCTCTGGGACGCGAGGGGAATGCTGCACAACAAGCTGCCCATATGAGAACACACGGTCATCGCTACCATTTGTGTCGCTCAGCTCCTGAAACCGGTGGAAATTGTTGGAGAAAAATGACCGAGACTAGCTTCGGGGCACCTCTTTCGTAGTACGCGAGACCCCATACCTGCTATGAAGACCTACCAAATAATTGAGGAGCAAGGCTGGAAGACCAGTCCCCGCTCATAATATTCTCCTGACGTAGTCCCCTACGACTGCTACCTGCTCCGCCTCCTTAAGGCTTTCTTAGCTAAGAAAACTTTCAGCAACTTTGATGACATCAGTCGAGAGGCGCTGACTTACTCTACTCGCAGCCTTCCTCAGTTCTGGGAGGAGGGGAATGCTTACCTGTCCATTAGGTGGAGCACTGTAGTGGCTAACTATGACGAGTATATTGTTGACTAATTCCCACTGTATGTTGAGTTAGAAAATAAAAAAAAAAAGTCACAACAGTGACGAGACTTTCCTTCCAACCAATACATTGGAAGATCTCAAAGCGTCAAATCAAACTAGGAACCATTCTGCTAGTTATTGCGTGCCGCCATAAGTGGAACTAATGTTATAGCCGTGCAATGCGCAGCGATAAACAGACGGCTTTGGAACTACTCCGCCACACATGTGTCCCTTTCTCAAATCGAGGCTCACGCTTAGTAGA